CAAGTGTTTTCAGAGTCCTTCATTACCCTTTCCCACTTTCCACTTCAGTGTAATATAGTGAGTGGAGTCGAACAGACAATCTGACTGACAGAAGCTGGAAGCTAATTCAGCTTCTTTAATCTTAAATCTTTACAAGCAAGCAGCACTGGAAAAATCATGTGCTGAGCCAGCTGAACCTTTGACCTGACTTTGAGTCACAGATTTTATATTTTGTTCTTTGATGCATTTATTAAAATAACTATTTTTAATTGGAGTTATAGATTAAAATATTTTCACAACTTTTTGCTTAAGACCTACACTGCATTTAGTTTTCTATTTGTTTACTTGATATATAAGTGATTTTCTCCTCAAAATTATGAAATACTCAACTGAGATCAGATTTTACTGGACTTTTAATCCCCAGTTCAATGTAGATGAATCTATTGCCTACATCTTCTTTTAAAATGAGCACCTAAATTTTTTTCCCTCTGTCTATGCAGGATATCATATGTTTGTGAGACCTGTCATCCCAAGAGGACTGTAAAAAAAGCTTGTTTTTTCCATTACACAATTTTTCTGGATTTATTTCTACACAGTATCTTACTGAGCATAACGTTTAGGGAAAACTCTTCCGCAGAATATACACATGAACACATGCAAAAGAACATGGTATTTCCCTGAAAGACAATGGGATTTTTATCCTGATATTTGTCCAGAGATATGAAATATTGAGAAAACCCCATGCTAGTGACGTATTTTCACATGACAGCTTCTAAAATAACTTCTGACATCAACCATAACTGTATATGAAATGGAAAAAAAGTTTGCTTATTTGGCAATTTCATCAAACACATATTGATGAGATTTGAGATGATCTCTTTACAGATCTGCAAATGTTGACAATTCATGTGATGCTTTTAAACCAGAATATTCTTTGACAAAATCTATTTCATACAGGAGTGGAAGCTAGATGAAGATGAAAAGGCAGGACGTTATCACTTGAAGCATGTCTGCAATAGCCTAGCAACAGTCTAAATATTCAGTTTGCTTTTTCTTCTATATTTTCAATGTGAAGTATAGGTGATCAAATCTCTGATAAACTTGTACTTTAGCAGCAGTTTCAGTCCTGCAGTGAGTAATGTAAACATACCTCTGCTTTCATGCCAAATATAAAATAATGAGAAAACAAAAGACACAACAGAGGGTTATTCATTTCTAGTTTCCAATGTCTTAAGCAATAAATTAGATACTGCATACGGCATTTGCAAAGTTCTGTAGAATTTTATTGGGCATATTCCTTCTTTCCTCTCCATTTTTTCAAGGGAGTTGCGTAAAGTAGTGACTCATTTATTTTATGTTCTTTACAAGCCCTGTGAGAATAATTCATATGAAAGATACAAATATCTGCATACTTAAGAAAGTATAGTATGTTGACCTGATTGAAAAGGACTTCTGGTCAGATCAAGGTCCTTAGAATTGCATGAAAAAGCACTTCATTTACAGGCAATCAATATTAATAACAATCTTTTCAGTAGGTTTTGGGAAAAATTCCAGAAGAATAATCTTCAGCTTTTTAAAAAGGTTCACTACATCTTTATTTTTTGTTTTTTTACTTTTTTTTTTTTTTTTAAGAGAAGAAAAGAAATAATTGCCCTTAATAATAAAAAGAAAAGTTCCTAAGTTTATCCCTGATGTAATTTTATCAATTTCTTTAGTGTGGTAATGTGTGGTAATTTTCTCTTGCAGCATTACTAAATGGTAGTATGATATCTTTTGGTCTCAGGGAGAAATTTCTTCCTTTGTAGAGTTAGCAAACCTCTACTGAAGTAAATGGAAAAGTTCTTGCTATGTTGCATTTTAAATCATTTTTGTTTCATATATTCTGTAATAATATTGGAGACTGGATGAAAGAGACAATTCTACCTTTAACTTATAATTTATGTTTCCTATTCTGCATCTTTTGTAAATGGGAGTAACTCTAAGCTTACATAAGCAGATATTGACGTGGTCTTTGAAGATAAGGTAATTGCTTCAAACTATTACTTCCCATTTCCTATATCCCAACAGCAACCAAGAATAATTGTGTTTAGTGGAATGCCTGTGAATTGACAAAGAAGTTCAAAGATATATCAGAAAATCAGTCTAAGAACAGTTCCTAATAAACCATTGACAAAGATAGTCACCACTGTGTCCATTACTAATGATTTCTAGTGTGTCAAGAAAGACATGTCTGTTACTCACTGAATAGTTTAAATAATGTATCTGGAGAAATTGTTTCAAAAATTGATGTCCATTTATCTGTATAACAGTATTGTTTCTTTCTTGCTCAGCTTCCTTCAGTTTCTAACAAATCTCTGTCTTTTGCAATTCTACATTATAGCCATGCCTCTTGATCCACAAGCCTTGTCTCCTAGTCTGTAAGCAAGTTTCAAAGTGCAATAATTGTTGGCTGAAAACTAGCAAAGTTCCTTTTAAAGAACAGGATATAGTCACCACTGAAGGATTGTAATGTGAATCTGGTTTACATTAGAAGAGATTTACTCTCACTACATGTTTAGCTCCATCCATCTGAAAATGCTGATTTTAACTTCTTTTAAGGTTGATTTTTAACTTCAGAAATAATCATACTCCCAAAAGATACAATGACATTCTCAGAGGTGCAAAAGACAGAATGTCATCAAGATTGCATATCATCATTCTAATGATAATTTGCCTGAGTCTGTGGCCATGGTAGGACTTTTTAATCAATATATTCAAAATACGCTTATTAAAAAATGAAAGCTGTCTTCAGTATAAAGGCGTATTTTTTTCCATCTCACATTTTATGCAAGCTGGTTAACTTTAATTAGTGCTATTCCTTACCAAAAAAATTAAATAGGTGACTATTTTGTGTTTCAAATAAAAGAAATAATTTTTAGGTGGTACATTTTAATCCTTTAGAAAGATAAACTATATTTCAGCAGGAGTAATTTTTTGTGACTGTAAAAAAAGAAAAAAAGAACAGTAAAAGAACCCCAGAACTACTCCTAATTTACATACGACCTTTTACTTTTACTGTGTCATGGCCTGCAAAATATCTATCCATATCATTTCACACACTAGTGAATCCAGTACTGAGAGTATTAAAAGATAAATTTGCTGTACTACTTTCCACTGTTATATTATAGATATGCTTAAAATTGCCATTAAAAGAACAAGTGGCTAAATGCTTTTACAGTGCTTTTAAGAAAACATTACCTGTCACATTAGAAATATATAAATACATATTTGTATGTATGCATGTGTACATGTCTATTTATGAAGCACAAATGCACTTGTGAGAGTTCTCCAACAGTCACTTCAGTGTATTATTACTAAACACTGCTAGTGTTTCCTCAACCACCAGAAATTAACAAAGTTAAAGAGGCAGATATCTATACAATTAACAATTTTGACAATATTAGATTTTCTTACTGGTAAAGAATTTCTATGAGTACAGAATTTTACAGAAATCTCAATAAGCCCTGTGTTCCTGTACAGATTCTAGTATCTAGCAAACATGAGATTTGAGGGATTTTAAGTTTAAAAACATTTTATAGACTTACAATAGACGCTTCTAAATCTACTGTAGACACGTGTAAATTACCTACTGCAAGGAAGATTCTAATTGTGCTGTGAAATATAGGGGATAGCAATAATCAATTTGACTCCTCAGGTACTAAGAGCAAAGAAGTAAGAAAGAATCTCGGAAAACCAAGAGAAACAGCATGAAAACAAAGCCCACCAGACCTGTCCAAATATTAAGAAAAAATATTTTATGTGATTTTTATAATTGATACTACAAAATTTATGATATAGACTTTCACAAGTAGCCTCTGAAACACAAATATGCTTTAGAGCTCAAAATTTGTAACTTAATACAAAAGTAGCAAAATGACAAAATATCATTGTTTCTTCCATGGTGCTTTTTGGACTACTACCTTCACTCAGTGAGTGGAATCACAATGCAAAGCTGATAGATCTGTTCTCCTGGGCTTAGGCTTCCACTGTCTAGAAGTGCTGTTTGCTGCCCATATATGCAAAGTATGACAGCTATTTGTGTTATACAAATGAGGTTTACTCATTAGTTTGATCTCAGTTGCATGCTAATCATATTGTCCCTTGTTATGAAACAAGCACTTTATTTTGTTATGTTTAATATTATGAACCAAGCTTAAAACACAGGAGAATACTTTGGTAATCTGTTTAGGCTTGCTTGTCTCAATAGCTTTATTACATTAGTTATTAAATTTTTTCAGGAACAAGCTAACATCAACATATTTTCTTCAAATGACTTCACGTTAAACATGTTTCCCAAAAACACTTATTATATGGAAAAAAATTATTTTACAGCAAACACAAGATTCCAATAATTTCATTTTTCATGAAAAGCTATCTGTCTTATCTATCACTCTCCCAGATTGTCACAATGAACTCCTAGTAGGAAATCATTTTGATAAAACCTATAACATGATAGTGTTACTGTTTTCTGCTGCCTGACCCTATCTCATTCTCAAAAGATGGTTTCTCACAAGGGATCTAACATACAGAAATGCAGTTTTTGTCTGGAGAATCTCTGCCATTTTTGCAGATCATTACCTCTTTGGTTTATGACTTCTCTCGCACGTTAAAATTATGTCAGCTTCTGAGTCTGATGACTATGGTAGCATTAGTCTCAAAACGCAACATGTTCAAATTACACATGTAGCAATAAAGTACTGTTATGTCATGATCTCTTCAGTCAAAACACACAAAAAACAAACAAAAAACCCAAACAAATGCATTTTATTGTTACATAGTAAGGGAAAAAAATCCTTCTTCCTCTCAATGTCTTGAAACAAAAAGAGATTAATTAATCACTGATACTACCAGCTGACATTATCACAGACTGGAGGGGACCCTTTTTTTTTTGGTGTTCCAGGAAACATGGAACATATGCTAGAACACTGTTCTTCGCAGAACCACCCCAATTCAGACTGAAGAAATGACAAAAATAATTACTCACCCTGAGCTTGCAGATTTGGAACTCAATCAAAAATGCTCTATCCTGAGATCTGAAAAACACAAAACAAAATCTTTCTGTCACCACTGGCAATAAATATTCAGACATTAGATACACAGTAAAACAAGTAAATGGTAGTTCAATACTGCAAATAATTAATATACATATATGAAAAACAATGGATTTAAACTTTGTATGGAACAATTTGAAAGAAGTACATTTTATGTCAGAAAAACAACCCAATAAAAGCCCAAGCTTTCAAATGTGTTCAGTCTTTCCCTCCTTATACCCCAGTTGTGTTTTGAAGAAAAATTAATTTTAAGCTCCCTTCTGCAAATGAGCATTTGTGAATTTCTGTGAAAACCAATAATCTCCAGGAATATCTAGACAGAAGACTTCAGAGCATTGAAATTATGACTTGAGAAGTTTATTTTTTCATATTTAGCTGCTTTGGAAAAAAAATAACTTTAATGCTCAGAAGGTAATAACAAAACCCAGACTATAATCTAAGATTTTGGTTCTAAGAGTGGAAGTCAAAATAATTAAAATAGTAATAAAGGATATACTTTTCATGTTTGAAAGGGATCAGAATGCTATGCGACAGCTGATGAGAGTGCATTGGAGTAAAACAATAGAGAGTCTGACGGAGTGGATGTTTGTAAATCTGGGGATGCAAAAAAGTAATGTCTTCTATAAGAGCAGAGGAAGAAAACTGATTAGTGCAGCAATCTCCTTTATGATCATCAAATACAAATGATTCATCATTGAATTAACATTCATTTCATGGACCTGGATGCATTTCTTTATAATTGCTAAGATTTGTTAAATTTATCAATACTATAACCATGGTTATTCCATTAATAAGGTTTGAGGTTACCCATTAGCTTAATAAGAACAATCTAAAATTGATTTTCCTGCAACAAATTACTTTCCAACATTTTGTGTACAGACATTTTTCACTTTCCAGTGCAACATTAACGAAGATTAATGCTCAAAATTTAAAATCTGGCAAATAAATATTAGAAAATACAGAAAGTAAAAACGTGTCTCTTTGAACAATAGAAAAGAAGGACATATTGAAAAATCATGCATAAACATGATATAAAATTTATGTTAGTTTTATGCTAATGGTAATTACCATATAAAAGCAGAATATTAAATGCTATAGTGATAATCTATGCTTTGGAGGAAGTATGTCTCTGTAATCTAAAGATTATTCAAGACATCCTATTAACAGATTATCCATTCAGTGCTTACAGTGTTGCCAAGTTCTAACAGTTTTTCCATGGTGTTTGCATTAGATAAATTAGTTTTGTGGGTTTGGGTTTTTTTTGTTCGTTTTATAGGTTTTTCTTTGATTGTTTTTTTTTTGGTTGTCTGGTTGGTTGTTTTTTTGTTTGTTTTTTTTTCAGAGATTGTTGTTGAGCTATGCTGTTTCATTTGGTTTCTTTTTTTTTTTATTTTCATGGCTCATTCTTTTTCCCCAAGCATTTTAGGCATGTTCAAAAAAAGAAACTGAGGAAAAAAGTGTATATATTTAGCCTTTCTTTATATTAAAATAGTCAATGTGGCTTCATTTTAAAAGTTTTAAATTTCCACCACAAAAACACATTCTCGTCTTAGGTCTCTCAACCTGCTGAACACTCTATTCTGTCACTGCAGAAGTAATCATTCAATATTGCCATTATATTTCTATGGAGAAACAAGAGAAAAAAAAGCTCAAAAAAAGTTCCTATCTTAAAAGTTTAACTTACTCTTATCTCTCCAAACAAATTTTCCCATCACATTCTTTTGTATTTTGTACTTTTCTTCCCTTCCCTTGTCTTATGACAACAGAACTATATGACCACTAATAGGATAATCACAGAGCAAGTGAAAATATGTCTCTTAATCCAAATATACTTTGCAAGCAGATGGTCCAAAAGAGTTTAAATTAACCTGTCTCACAACATCTTTTTTTTCTATTTTATTATTTTGAATCTGTTAGGGGGGGGACATTTGTGCTAGACTGTTTTGCTATAGTTTTAAACAGTTGACAAAATATTTATGTAGGATTAAAATTGGTTGAAAAAACATATGTACTACTCCTTCCCTACAGCATCATTTGACAGTAGCAGCATGCTGATCATTACACAGAAAACTCTCAAGTGCTTTAAATGAGGAAATTGTAGGTTAATAATCCTCAAGCATAAGCTTAGTTGTGCTGTGAACTAAAATACTGATCTAGAAAAGCTGGAAATTCTTTGTGTCCACAAAGTTTCCAGCTCCACAAATTCATCTTGGGAGTTTTGGTTAAACATTCTCAGGTTTAGATGAAAAGTGCTGGTTTTATGTATTATTTCTATGTATATAAAACCAAAATATTGATAGTTCATTATAATGCATTGTCAGTAAATTAACTGCAGTTTGGAGAGAACAGGAATTCTACCTCCTGGAAGTAATTTAGATTAATTTAAAGTAAAAAGTGATTTATTCTCTAAGTTTGCAGGCATACAACTCAAGGACATTATTCAGCAACATTTAAATGCTTAGCCAGTTCCCGCTACTGCAGGATGTTTCTTCAACAATTGTCAAGATTTTAAGGCTTGTTTTCCCAAATTTATTTAAGTTTCACAAGACCTGCAATCATCACAATTTTCGAAAACAAGCAGGAGGCTATTATAATATTATTCTATTGACATTATTATGTAATTAAAAATCACTGATAATGCCCAATGGGCAATGATATTGTACCTCTCTTTCAATGGGCCAGGAAAAAAATAAAAGGGATTAAAATGCTGTTTTCAGTGGTCTTTTTCAATTTGAATTTAAACTACTGGTTATAATCCAGCATACAGAAAAAAGTTCCACTACTTTTATGATGATGATTACCAAGACAAATTCCAGGAGGAATTCTAACAGTGTGTATTACCACTTTGCTTCCATTAATTCTGATTTCCTTGTGCAAAGGTTGCACCAAGTATCAACAAACTGAAATAGTTAAATTCAGTCCCAGGAAAAACATTGTCCAAAATCTTATTTCAGTCCTAATAGTAACACCCTGAGATATTAATTCCAAAAGGAGAATATAATTAACAATAAGGAGTTTTCCAAATAGGCTATTAAAGAGGAATTATTAAAATTTCATTGAGGTTTAATTTAATTTTTTTACTGCAATATCTAGTTAATTTTTGCATGTCTAAAGTACTTTTTCATGGAGAAAAGTAGGGTTGGGGGAACCTTATTGCTCTCTACAAATACCTGAAAGGGGGTTGTAGTGGGCTGGAGGTCAGTCTTTTCTCCCAGGTAACAAGTGATAGGACAAGAAGAAATGGCCTCAAGTTGCAACAGGGGAGGTTTAGACTGGATATTAAGAAAAACTCCTTCACTGAAAGGGTAGTCAGGCATTGGAGCAGGTTGCCCAGGGAAGTGGTGGAACTCGCATCCCTGGAAGTGTTAAAAAACTTGTAGATGTGGTACTTGGGGAAATAGTTTAGTGGTGAACACAGCAGTGCTGGGTGGAAGGTTGGATTTGATCATCTTAGATGTCTTTTCCAACCTTAATTGTTCTATTATTCTATGAATACAAGATCCTTCTTCTATTTCTTTTTAAGAAACTTCTTGGATTTTAGAGGGCCAACATAATGATAAAGAGATGGGTAGTAGTTTCATAGATTATTGTGTTATCTAGTTCTTTCACAACTGGAAACAGATTCAAGTGAAGTCTAAATTAAGAAGAATAGGAATGAATTTTATTTAGGACTGCTCTGTAATTTTCTTAATAACTGTGTCCCCTTCACTTAAAAACCTGCCAAATACTACTTATTCCCAAGTCTGTGTTAGATCCATATGGTTTAATTATGGCAATATTCCAACAGTAGACATTTTACATCCTTTTTCTCTTGTTGCTGAATGAAAACCTTTGTCAACCTCATAACATTTCTTGAAAAGACACAAAACATACCTGCTGAAGAAATTAAATTTTATAATCCCATTTTTTAACCTCTTGAAGGAATATTCTGGTTTATAACAAAAGAGAGGTTTATATAGATCAAAACCTAAGAATTCAAAAAAGTATGCAATTCAATTATCCTATGGAAATTCTATTCACAATAACCTACATAAACTTCTCGGCAGATAATCTATACTGGCATAAAATACCTCACTTTCCCCTTCTTCTCAGTATTAATTTTAATTGAAAACCCAGCTTTGTTGCCAAAATATTACAGTTTGGTCTTCTCTGACAGAGCATAGAACCCATATTTTACATGACAATACTCTCAAATGCTTTCTATTAAAGACTATTTCTTGTGGCATTCCTTTGTTCATTCCTTTTGTTTATGTGCTGAAATGGCTACATCTGGACTTCAGGGCAGATGCCTTTTTAAGTTAAGTGTTCATGATGCTCAGTTGCACACCTTGCAGTATGTTCTTATTATTTACCAAAGTCTTACTTTCCCCTTATCTACTTGCCTTTAAAAGTAATATCAGGTGTATAGAGTATAGAGGAAAGGAACTATGGTATGCCTAAATAGGTCCTGAAATTTCAATGTTTGAGAAGCAGTAGCGTGGAATCTATTAAAGAATTTGTCTATGCTGTACTGGAACATGTAGTATTAGTCTCTGTTAAAAAATTGTACTTCTGATATCTATCCAACTATTTCTGTTTTATTTTTGTGCATTTTGTGGTGGTATTCTTGCATTTTTCTTGCACACTGTTGCTTTTGGATAAGTTGTCTAATTTGCCAGGATTTTTGTAAATTCTAATCCTATCCTCTGGGGCTTTTACAGTCCTGCCCAGCTGTCCATCAACCACAGATTTTTAAAACTCATCGTTTCTTCCATCATTCAAATCTTTTTTCTTTTAGACACTGAATAACAACATGGCCAAAACAGCACCCTGTGGAACTCCCCAACTGAAATGATAATAATGATTCCTTGTTAACTGAAAGCAATTTTTTCAAACAGTTGGTGGTTACATCTGATTCCTATTTTGCTGGCCTGCTTAAAAGAATGTAGTAGCGCACACACCCTTCTTCCCCCTAATAAAAATGTAGTTACATAATATTTCTT